AACTTTTTCACAGCCTCTCTGAAGTCTTTGGTCATGAACAGCACCTGCAGCACACTGTTCAAGTAACATGTGGATCCTTGGTTTATCAGCCCATGATACCTGTTAGCTGATGGGAAGAGAGAATGCATACAAAGAAGATATATATTTAAAACATGAGCCTGGATCATAAAATACCCAAAGAGAAATAAACCAAAACAGTCAAACCCATTTATATTTTATTTATTTATTGATAATTTATTCTATAATGATTAGATTTTAATTTCTACATATAGGAGTTTAACTGGGTATTTTTTATTTCGTTTTTCTTTTGTCGATATTACGCTAAAATATCTAATTTGCCACTGCTAGTCAAATCTAGTTGTTTGATCTGATCGGCTGATTGGGAAAGCACGTGCCGATTTATATTGTGTTCCAAAATTTACAGTGCGTGGAAAAAAGAGAGCCAATAAAGAACTGCCTGTAAACCTCCAAAATAAATTACGTTGACTCATAGATCAGGGCCATGTAAGGCTGGAGCATTGCCAGGAGTATAGTGGCCTCAGTAACTGGTCAACTAGAACAAGCAAAACTCTCTTTAGAGTCCAGTGTCTGTCCAAACTAAGTAATCAACCTAGTGCAATAAATTGGTTAGAAAAAAGAATCTGAACATAACTTCAGAAATCCTGAAAGAGATCTATAATTCAGCAATGTTCTATCCATTAAACATTTATGATGATAAGGATGTTGATGAAGGCTAAATGGAAAAAAGCCAGCTCCAAGTACACGAGTAGGCTACTAAAAAAGACAAAAAGGAAATCGAAATTCCTTGACGCTGGATAAATATACAACTTACACAATACGCCTGAGGAGGAACACAAAAAACAATCAAAAAATGCTCTAAATATTTACTAAAATCTTTGAAATATTTGTTGTAGATAATACCTGTGTCCTTTTCGCTCATTTTCACTTCACTCCACTTGCTGTTCTGCTGAAGAAACTGCTCCTTAAAAGGAATAAACGGCAATTAACGGGAACTAAACAACAGCACATACAATCTTTCCTTCGGTTTATTTCAAGGCATTCCTCTGGATCCTTCGGGAACTACTTTATTCTCGAGGCAAACAAACAAACTGCGACCTGCAGATCCAGTGAATTTAAAAGCACCGGAATACTTTCTCTTTCTCTTCTCGTCGAGTTGCTGCAATGTTGCATTCATGCTGTGTTGGAAATCTCGAAATTATCAAAAGACAGCTAGATGACTGACAATGATTTACAGTTATTTCCTTTTCAGAACCAGATTATTAAAAATGTGAATGAAGAACACCTAATATGTTCTGACTCACAAACACAACACACAGGAGCTATTAACATGGACTTCAGTTTCGGAATCTATTTTAGTTCAGGACTTGAAATTGGTGTAAGATCAATTGGGTAGTATTTGAAATTTACGTACGACAATGAACGCAGCATATGAAGTAATTGACAGGGCGAAAAGGAGATCTGGATTTCATTTTTACAAAGCTTATAATATTGTATTTAATGTACCTCCACAAGAAAGGATGTATTGTGAAATGTATTCATTGACATCATCTGCGTCACTTTGAAATTCAACAACTGTTTTAATCTATGAAATAATTTTTAATCACAGATTTTCAGAGACAAATTACTCACTATGCTTCTTGCTCGTGATTCAGAGAACCTCCTGCTGGATATACACTAGAGAAAACGTGCCCTGCATTTATTAACGTATTATTACGGCTTCTGTTTTCTAAGGACCTCCAAATATGCACGCTTAATCAAAGATGACACAGTTGAAATAATACAGTTTTATTTTATTCATCGGTGAAAAATGAGTGTATCAGAAGTGATTTAAAACAAGGCTAAAATATATGTAAACAGTTGCGAGAGCTTTCACGTAGCGTCAACGGCATTGGCAGCTGTAGGTGGAGCCTGTCTCGCTCAGGCTCTCAGTCCTCCGGGAAGTCTCAGCACTACTTGGATAACAGACATATGCTGGATTCCATATTCAGACAGCGGCTTCTTATCTTCATCCAGATTCTTGTCTGTGAATATCAGCCGCAGATTCCCATCTAACACAGAGAGTGAGTGAGAGAGGGAGAGAGAGAAAGAGAGAGAGGTTCACTTTACTAAAGTAAATAATTAAATAAATCTATAGCAAAATACAAAATAAACAAAGCTTCATAATGTGGCTTACTTTTCTTTGGATCATCCGTTAGCCCCAGTGCTTACTTTAAATATATTATACTCTTCCGCGAGCAAGAAATCTAAGTCTTGATCCGCCACAACAAATTAAATATATTTTCAAAGGAAATTTTGGAACAACCTGAACAACATGAAACCAAGAAAATTACCCTAAGCTCGTTCATCGTGTGGACAATATATAATGTAGGCTAATACAACGTAAATTAAGAGTGTTTCACTTCTCTGTGTATTTACCTGCAGTTTCTGGAAACTTCTGTCTTATTTTTTCCCTCAGCTGCTCCACTGTCATGCTCTTGAACTGCTCCTCGGTGTTGCTCAGGTCGACGGTCACCTTCCCACCCCTTACTCCAGAAACGACGACCTGGTACAGCTTTCCCATTCTGTGCGCTCCCTCCGCTTCTGCAGCGGACACTAATAAGGTACTTCTGGGTCTGACGTCACAGAGCTGAGTATACTTTCACTTTCATCTAAATGATTGTTTTTACCACTCAGTCTTCTTTTTCTTTTTTAGTTTTACACTGCTCTATAAAAATGGGTTTGATATATTAGATTTCCTCTACAAAATGCAAATTCAGTTTTTTTTTGTAAAAACAAACCAATGAAAAAAAAAAACATGTTAATAATCTTCTAACGGTGTTTATGATAAGCAGTTTACCATTGTCTACATTATAGTGCCTGTGCTGTGCATCACTCGCCATTTACACACTCAATTGTTCAGTGTGTAAATGCATTCCCTTATTGGACACTCAATCATAGCTGGAAATCACCTGATATACCAGTTCATGATGAATGGGCGTGTTTGTTTACCAGCTGTTCCCTTCTCCTGCGCATTTTATTAAAAGTCAGTGCTGCAAAAAACTCTCTATAAACGCCACTGTACAATAACGTATTTGTTTATTTTTATAACTATTATTTATTAGCATTAAATAATTCTTTAAAACATTAAAAAAGCTTTAATTAACTGCTGTCCTCATCATCAGCGCAAAAGAGTAAATAAAGTGAAATAAAGATACAAGAACACAGACCTGTTACAGAGCGCTGTTTCACGTGACTTCTGGTAACTGCAGGAGGAAGTGAAAGTTTAAAATTATGGTGCTGTCAGTGGTGATAACACTCGGTGTTCACTTCACTTACTGCAGACACAGATTGTTTATCCACGGAGAGGACGGAAAGTTTCTGAGCTAAAATGACCGAAGAGAAAAGATACGACCCCAGAGACACGACACAGAAATTCGTCAACAGGCCCGATGATCTGGATCCGCTACATATATGTAATAGATCCCTTAATTGATTAACTTAGGGACATGGATATTCTAGGTACTTTCAATGAGGAGAAGAGGAACAAGAAAACACCTCCTTATGCTGTCTTATAGAGAACACTCTATGACATTTATTACAACAAAACACATAACAGTCTCATCAGCAACTTCAATAATATGCAGAATGTTAACAACACTTATGAGACAAAATCAATACAATCCCCCCTTCAATCAGTCAGTTCAGTTTCCATATTAGTATTGGTCCATTTATGTTTCTTGTCACAGTTCTACCTCCACCAACCACTCTGGTTTGGTGAGGAAAGGAAAAAAAGTAAAATATGGTGTTGAAGTAAAAAAGAATAATAATAAAATAAATTCAGAGCTCTGAGAAAAACTTTGTCAATCTACCCGGGTAGTGTGTGTGTGTGTGGATAAGCCCAGTGCTTATCTGCAAAGATGAGTAAAATCCTCATTCGCCGTCCTTCTGGGTGGAGCAATACGTCTCTGGAAAAAGCCCCACTGGATTCGCCTTCCAATCGCCGATCGAGTATCCAGCAACTGTCTCTCGCACTATGTCCCAACACAGTAAAAAACAATTGGAAAAAAGGATGCGTGGTAAGCAAATCCTAATAGTCTGTAAC